TCCTCCTATACATGATGCTGACACAGTACAATCTGATGATAATGAGTTAGATGATGATCATGATATAGATGTTTAGGGATGCATTATCTTTTACTATTATGTTTACTATGCTTTAAACTTATAATTTATTATGTTTATGTTTTACTATATACTTATCATACATTAGGGATCAACTAAAGTTATAAACTTTGTTATATTTGGTGTTATTTTTATCTATGGTATGCTTGACTTTCTTATATTTGTGTTTAGTTACATGTTTTTATAGAATTGAGAAATTTTTCTTAATTATTTATTTTGTTAATTTTTTAAACAATTACACAATAAATTCAACTTTTTTGATTAATTAATAAATTATTTGTTAATCACAATTATAGGAGAAAAATATATTCTTTACAAATTTACGAAAAAATAATTTGCAATTTGTGACGGATTTTATTTATCACCGATGGATTTCATTCAGTGCAACAGTTTGTGACAGATTTCACAATTATTCATCACAAATTTAGTCATCAAAGACGCCCAGTTTGTGAGGGATTCAACCCAGTTAGTGATGGATTTTATCCGTCACAAATTGTGACGGATTCACATATCTCTCAATCCCTCTCAAATAGCGAGGGATTTAATCCCTCTCAAATAGCGAGGGTTTCTTTCATCACAATTTGTGAGGGATTTTGTGTCATCACAATTTGTGACGGACTCACATACCTCTCAATCCCTCTCAAATAGCGAGGGATTTAATCCCTCACAAATTGCGAGGGATTTAATCCCTAACAAATTGCGACGGATTTTTATTAATTTCTAAACATTTATTGATACAAATTAGTGACGGAAATTATATTGTTTGTGATGCTTTAATTCCTTCACTAATTGTGACGCCAAATTTTGTGACGGATTTTGTGACGCCAAATTTTGTGACGGAATCATTTCCGTCACAAATTCCGTCACTAACTTATTTGTGACGGATTTTATGAAGATTAGTGACGGATTTTTTCCCTCTCTAATTTTAATTTTTCTAGTAGTGGACGTTCCTAAACTGGAACGGGCCATTCCAAGTTACTAAAAAGGCCTAAAACCCTAATTTGGAACGGGCCATTCCAACACAAGTTGTTATGAGTAAAATTCAAAACCCAGAACGGGTCGTTCTAATTATGGAACGGGCCGTTCCAGATTCATGTTTTACCCATAACACGGACTGGCCCGTTCTGAATTTGAAACGGGTCATTCTGGTTAGTTCTGACGTCTATAAATAGACAAGTCGGGCATTGTTCTCCAGCCCGGGAAATTTCGTATAAGGCTCTTTTTAGCTAAAAAATTCTCTTTCTTTCCTTCCTATTGTATTTCTTGAGATTTGTGAGGCATATTGTAGTGTGAAAGGTTGCCACAAAGCACCTAAAGATCTCCATATTTGAAGATTTAATAGAACTCGTTTAAGAGGTACTTTAGTTGATTCTCTTTTCTTTTCTCTATTCCCTTATTTCAAATATTGTTATAATAAAAGCAATCATGTAGACGTTTTAGGATTAATCGTGTAATTTAAATTTCAAGCATGTAAATACCAATTCATAAAGGGGATTAAATATTTAAATTATTAATTCTTACTATGCTAACTTCATCATAATGATACCAATTAAGGGCGTTGTAAGGGTGCTTAATACATTCCGTACACGTAATCGACTCCTGAACCCAATTCTGGTTATCAAGGCCATTATTAGATCTTTAAAAACCTTTTTTTTCCAATGTTTGAGTAAAACATTGGTGGTGACTCCATGAACCTATTTTTCAAAATCATTAATTAAGGATTAGTCTGGTGTCCGGGCATTCCTTAGTTGATGAGATTTTCGATAGGATGTCTAAACCATAGGTCGTAAGATCAGAAATTTTTGGGTTGCAACAAACAATCTCAGGCCCTAAGGTAACACTATCCCCTGGCTCACACCAAGACAAAGAAGTCTTATACCTCCTACCATACAAAGCCTCATAAGGTGTCATGCCTATAGTAGAGTGGTAATCATTATTATAGGTAAACTCTATTAAAGGTAAAAGACCATCCCAACTACCTCATTGGTCCAACACATAGGCTCTAAGAAAATTCTCTAAGGATTGGATAGTCCTTTTAGTCTGACCATCAGTTTGAGGTTGGTAAGCTGAACTAAGTCTAAGTTGGGTCCCCAAAGCTCGTTGTAGACTCTCCCAAAACCTAAAGGTAAACCTAGGATCTCTATCTGACACTATGCTAGATGGTATCCCATGCAATCTCACAATCTCATCAATATACAGTCTAACAAGTCTCTCTAGATAATAGCTAATGTTAATATGTAAAAAGTGTGCACTCTTAGTCAACCAATCAACTATAACCCAATTGGAATCATGTCCTCTCACAATCCTAGGCAAGGAAACTACAAAGTCCATAGAAATGTTATCCCACTTCCACTTGGGTATACTCAAACGCTGAAGTAGTCCTGAAGATTTTTGATGTCTATCTTAGCCTTCTAACACATTAAATTGGCACTCACAAATTTAGCTATGTCTTTCTTCATCCTAGGCCACCAAAACACCTTCCTAAGGTCCTAATACATCTTAGTTTCTCCTGGGTGGAAACTAAGCTTACTCTTATGACCTTCCACTAAGATCAAACGTCTAAGTGTAGGGTCAATAGGTACACATATTCGGTCTCTAAATCTTACCACTCCATCTACACCGAAGGTAAACTCCCCTCCACTACCTTATCCTATAGCATCAAGTCTAGCCACTAAGAATGAATCCACTAATTGTGTCTCTCTAATCTCTTTTAACAATTCACTAGTCACTTGAGTCATACCTAGTCTCACACTACTAGGGGTAACCTCACAAGTCAAACTTAAGTTTCTAAATTGAGCCAAAAGGATCATTTTTCTAATCATAAGGGAAGATAAACGTAAGGATTTCCTACTCAAGGCACCAGCCACAACATTAGCTTTACCCAAATGGTAACTAAGATCAAATTCATAGTCCTTAAGAAATTGTAACCATCTTCTTTGTCTCATATTTAATTCCTTTTGGTCAAAAAGATACTTAAGACTCTTATGATCACTAAACACTTCAAATTTAGAACCATACAAATAATGCCTCCAAATCTTAAGTGTAAATACCACAATTGCTAACTCAAGATCATGGGTGGGGTAATTCCTCTCATGGATTTTCAATTGCCTAAATGCATAAGCTACTACCTTTTCTTCTTGCATTAACACTTCACTCAAACCCATCTTAGAAGTATCGTAATATACCACAAAAGTCTTACTAAGGTCAGGCAACACTAATACAAGTGCACTAGTCAATTTTTCCTTATAAGCTTGAAAACTATTCTCACATTTGTTATCCCACACAAATACAACTTCCTTCCTAGTCAAACCGGTCAAGGGTTATGCTGTCTTAGAGAACTCCTCTATGAATCTCCTATAACACCCATCTAATCCAAAGAAGCTCCTAACCTCATTGATTGACTTAGGTGTCTTCCACTTAAGCACAACCTCTACCTTAGATGGATTTACTGTTATACCCCACTAAAAATCACATGTCTTAGGAAATTCACCTCTTTTAACCAAAAATCACACTTAGACAACTAGGCATAGAGCTATATCTCCCTAAGAGTTTTAAGTACTACCTTTAAGTGTTCCTCATGCTCCTCTTTAGTCTTGGAATAAACTAGTATGTCATCTATGAAAACAAGTACAAATTTATCTAAGTACGGATGAGAAATACAGTTTATGTAATCCATAAAAATTGCTAGAGAAATCATCACACCAAAAGGCATTACTAGATATTCATAATGTCCATATCGAGTCCTAAATGTTGTCTTGGGTACATCTGCACCCTTAACTCTAATATGATGGTACCCTAACCTAAGGTCAATTTTACTAAACACACAAGCACCCACCAACTGGTCCATTAGGCAATGTATACTTATTCTTAATGATTACCTTATTCAATTAGCAATAGTCTACACACAATCTTATGCTACCATCCTTCTTCTTAACTAAGAGTACGGGTGCTCCCTAAGGTGACACGCTAGGCCTCAGAAACTCCTTCTCCAACAAGTCCTTTATTTGCTTCTTAAGCTCCACTAACTCTACAAGTGACATCCTATAAGGTGCAACAAAAATAGGTCCTAATCTTGGTACTTAATATATGGAAAACTCTACCTCTCTTTTAGGTGGTAAGCTAGACATATCATCAGAGAAGACATCAAAAAAGTCACATACTACAGGTAGCTCATTTATTAAAACATTACTCTTAGAATTTAAAGAAGCTAACAATATGTAAACTTGGGCATCCCCTTGCAAAGATACCTTAACTTGGTTGGTAGTCAAATAATCCTTACTCACATTCTCAACAAATTCACCAAAAACAAAAAATTTATCAGCACAATGAAGGAGGACATGATTGGAAGATAACTAGTCCATACCTAGAGTAACATCTAGCTGACTTAGAGGCAAACAAATTAAGTCAACTATGAAATTTCTACAACCAATATGCAAAGGACATTTCAGACAAACATCAGAAGTAGAAATTGACCCACTAGTTGGCGTCTCCATAATTAACTTAAAAGACAAAGAAGACACAAACAATTTCAATTTAGATACACACGCATGTGATATGAAAGAATGAGTCACACTAGAGTCATATAAAATAATTAAAGGAGTTCCATTAATGAAACACGTACCTTGGATTAAGCCTTCAGACTAAGCGACTTCAACAGCACTCAAGAGAAATACCCTCCTTGTTGCCTTCGGATTTGTTAGCACTCTTACTAGCTTCCACTGACCCTTGCCTATTCTTGGGACAATCATAAGCCATGTGTCTTGTCTCCTAACACCTGAAGCATATCACATCTCTCCCCGTCTGGCATTGGTACGCCTTATGGCCTTACTTCCCACATCTGAAATAATTGTTATGTGGGGTGGAACCCACACTCCCTCCTCTAGAAGCTTGGCTGACAGCTAGAATTTGAATCCTCTGTTGAATCAAGCTTGACTACCTCCCCTGACACTAGAATCCCTAATAGATCTAGTGTAAGGCTTACCTTTACTAGATGAACCAAACTTGTTTTGACTCATCATCGGTCCCTTACTCTTATAATGAGTCACCCTAGCACGATTGTCCTCTTCATAAACCCGAAACTTGTTCACCAGCTCATGATAACAAGTGATCCCTTGATAATTGAAAACTTGCTTAATTTTAGGGCGAAGAACATTCACAAAATTTACACCCTTGACCTTCTTATTACCCACATCATCATACATGGGACAAAATCGAACTAGTGCCTCAAACTTAGACACATAATCAGCCATGATGTCATCTCCTTGCTTTAGCTCGAAGAATTCCACATGTTTCCTATTTCTCACGTCATGCGAAAAATACTTCCCCATGAACAGTCGCTTGAAGTTCTCCCAATTAACATGAGTGCCCTTAGCTATCATCCTTTGCAAGGCACCCTGCCACCAAATTCTAGCTTCCCTAGAAAGCATGAAGGTAGCCAAAGTCATCTTCTACACCAAAGGTCATCCTAAAGCTTGGAATATCTTTTCTACCTCAAACATCCAATCAATAGCCCCATCGGGATCATAACCCCCATAGAAGCTTGGCGGATTCTTCCTCCGGAATCCCTCTAACCAATCCACTTTGGTCGTTGGTGTAGACCCCTAAAATTGTCCGGGTCGGAAATAAGACAAATAATAATAACTGATCCCAATTCAAGGTTATCGATGGCGGATAACGGTCTATGGCGGCGAGGCCAAAAATCCTTTATAACTCTATGGCGGATGCCATGGCGGCCTATGGCGGACGTCATGGCGGACAAAAAAAAAATTAATAATAAAAATATTTATATATATTATATACAAAGAAAATAGCAAAACAATAAATAACAAGTAACAAAACTAAATTAAAAGCAACATAATATCAACTTAAATACTTAAATATCATAACAACAATACCATAATTCATTAAGTCTCATAACATAATTGATTAAAACACAACAAAAAACATAGAAAAACAAGAGTACAAGAAGCATTTTGCTAATCTAATCATCCT